TAAATATGGATCAAGCCCTTCTCATTTCTAAATCATAAATCACTTTCTTAGTTTAGACTTTAAAACAAAATATGTTAGTTTAGGCAATTCCCAACATAATAAATATCATTTATGTTTTTAACAAAAATATAGTTTATTTTAGGCAGGATATATAGGGTGATAGTTATCTTTTCTATTACATAACTAGTCATTTACCTAAAAGTTTTGAAAGACCAAATAAGGTTTTCTAGTTACTATAAAACTAGGTTGCAATATTTATTTTATTTTATTTTTACCCTTTGTTTTGTTGAGATGTCCGGTGTTAAAACTATTAGCCTATCATCCATTGAGTGATCTTCATCCTCTGTAATAAACCCTATCAAGCTTTTAAGATGCATCAATATTTTTTGAATTAATTTTTTAGCTGCTTGATTACTTTGTATATAGTTTGTTACATAAATATTTCCAAGCTTTAAAACCAAAAACTATTTTATACCAATTATTATAAGGATAAATGTTTCACTTAAATTTTTGCTTATTATGTAGCAATATAGCCCCAACAAGATGTAACCTTACCTCATCAATCACTCATTTTTTCCCTACAATTAAGAGTTTCACACCCTAATATAGATTTTCTACATCTCATTCATTATAACAAAAAAAAAAAAACACACATACACAGACATGTAATGCATAATAATTTATAAGAATATTTTCTAATACTTATTAAACTCAATAACGGAATACACAAGTCATTATGAGTACTATGTATAATATATCTTCTACGTATAGGATATTACATACTACATAATATATTTTACAACCTACTTATAATAAAACTATATAGAAGTTATATTTGAAAACTCTCTTCATTTTCTAGCAAGAATTTGGACAATTAACTACATATGTCCTCATAAACTTAGTAGTTTTCAAGACATATTCATCTATATGTCATTGTAGTTATCCACTCCTTTATGAGAAAAGATAAAAAAAAACTCTTAAAAATTTATTGAGAATGACATTATTAAAATTTTTAAAACAAATTTAATAAGATAAATTCAATAATATTAAAAAAACTCACTAGCATATATTGAAATAAAGCACACCAGGTTCCTAGAAGTGGTAAGGCTCATGCCTTCAAGAAGCTCATGTCCCTCACTTCGATCTCTTTTATATTTGAATTTAAAAAATAACTAAAAAAAAGAGAAAAAACTTCCTTTGCCGCTAAACCAACTTTATAGGATTACAAGTTCACAGAAATTATGGTAGCTGAAGAATTAAAAGCGAATTGCTTCATTATGCCCAAGAATCCAAAATAATTCAATCGTGTACTATTTTTCTTACTGCCATCCATTATGGTAGCTGAAGAATTAAAAGCGAATTGCTTCATTATGCCCAAGAATCCAAAATAATTCAATCACGTACTATATGGTAGCTGAAGAATTAAAAGCGAACTGCTTCATTATGCCCAAGAATCCGAAATAATTCAATCATGTTCTATTTTGTTATAACTTATTGAATGATTTTCTGCCCACAGTCCTTTCGGTTCAGCCTTATAGTTTATTCAATTATCAAATTAAATGATGCATTCTTGCACATGGCTAGTCCTTGAAATAATACGATCAGTCCTTTCGTATATGATAAGTATTTACAATATTCACATAATTATTTACAATTAACAGTACTAGTCATTTTTTTTAATATAATAATTTTATTAATATTAAGTTGATATAAAATAAATTACTATTGTTACATCAATTCAATAAAAAAATATTGATGTGTTGGTATAAAAAATAATTTTAAAAAAATAAAAAACTTATTTTGATATATTTCTAAAATAAAGAATTTTGTAAAATAACCACAACTATATTTTTAAAAATTATAAATATTATAAATAAATACGATCTTCCCAACAAAATCTATGTCTTCATGGATGATAAATAAAGTTCCCTCAATTTTCTTATTAGATTTCTAACAAAACTTTTCTTTCAAATCACACACAAATGAGTCTCTCATTATCATAAATTAATGCAGAAACAAATCACGTCACTTGATTTTATTGATGGAAGATTTAACAATCACATATAAGAGTTTGTCTCTTTTGAAGTACAAAACTCAATTTTCAAACCCTTATTTAAATGACATAATCTTCTAGATTTGGAGTTAAAAGAGCTACTTTAGTATCACAAAATAATATTTTTTTTCTAAATTTTTTTCCAATAAAAAATAAAAAGTTTCACTAATATGTAGAGACCTCAACTAGTTTAGAAAAGGTTTCCATCTTCTAAATTATAATCCTTGGTAAAATTACTGGTATCTGAAAGCTCATAGTTGTTATCACACATGAAATCATGGAAAAACTATTAAGTTATTTGTCTTTAAATTTACATTATTTGAAATAAATAAAAATAATACCACTTTCATAATTAGGTTTTAAACATGTTATTGATATCTAAACTTATTTGTTTCAAAAAATTACTATCTTGTTTCTATAAATTTCTTGTGTCAATTTTTAATTAAAAAAATGAAAGAAGTTAAGTATTTAATTTCAAATTTTATATATTTAGAATCATGGCATACTATTTAAAAGAATGATATAATTTTAGAGGTGCATTTAATAGAAAATTGAAACTTTTACGAAACTAATTTAATTAAAATAATTTTTTTGTTTTTATAAAATGATACGAAGAAGATGCATTAAAAGCTCGAGGAAAGGGGGGGTTTGAGCGGGGGAAGATGAAGGGGAGAGGTTTGGCTAGTTTTGGGAGACGGAGGAAGGAGAAGAGTAAGTTGCAGCTAGGAGGGAGACAGTGAGATGGCCCCGGGGAGGGGGGGCGGCGGCCCCTAGAGAAGAAGACAAATGGTTAAGGGCCTTTTGTTTTAGGGTTTTTTTGTGTAGTTTAGGTTTCTCCCTTTTGATTTTTTAAAATTGCCCTTCTTTTTGTATGGGTTGGAAACTTGTATTTATAGATAAAAATATTATTATATTTTTAAATTTGATATCTTAACTTTTTTTATAATTTTTTTATTTTTTTTGGATTTTTCTTATCAACATCAACTCAAATGAAAAAAATCAATAATTTTAAAAATAATATGTTAAAAATTGAATATGTTTTAAAGATCTTTGAAAAATTAAATTTTTTTAAGACGATACTGAAAATGCTAAAAAAATAAAAATATATATTTTTTAGATTTTTATTATTTTTTGTTATTTTTGAATTTTTTAAAAATTTTATCAAAAAGTTAAATAAAAAATTAGATAACAACAAGATTAACAAACATAGTATTTAAACCAACAACATCAAAGAGAAACTCTTGATGTACTCACTCTAAATTTTATATCCTTACTATGCGAGGTGAATTGTATGATAATGCTAGCAATTTGCATGTACATAAAACAAACTACAAAGCTTTATTTTTTAGAGATTTCTCTTATGAATTTTGTGTATATTGCGTTGTCCGCTCATCTAACTCCAATAAAAGAAGAGAGATGCAATGCTATTTTCATCAGCCTTTTTATAGAATAAAACAAGAAGCAACATTGACTAGCTTGCCTAGGATAGTCCAAAATCTTGTGGAGTGCATAGAAACTATGATCTTCATTTTAAGAATTTGTAAACAAAGTGCACTATAGCCATAACGGAGCAAGAATGTATTAATTTAATTTTTAAAGTGATATATTGAAAGCTTAGAAAACATTTTTAAAATCAAATATTCGTATATTTATATCATTTTAGATAATGTTATTCCAGAAAAATATATTTCAAAAAATAAATAAAAAAAATACCTTCTGAAGAGTTTGAAAAAGTAAAACAACAACTTATATTGATCACAGAACTCAAAAACGAAAAAATCGTTCAAAAGCTAAAAAAGGCTAGTAAGCTAGCCTTCTAGGAAAGAAGCAAAAATGATTAAAGTGAGTAGAGAGAATAGAAGGTACTCGCTTGACATAAAGAGAATGTATGGAATGCATGAGATAATTGATGTTAGAAGTAGAAAGCAAACTCCTAAGAAACCACACAATTCTAAGAAATACTACAGGTGACAAGATTTAAGTACACTTACTGTTACGTTGAATTAAAAAATCAAAACTATAAGGTTTGTAAACTAATTAGATTGAAAAAAACAGAACACGCTTACGAGATGCACTGGATAGCTAGATCACCACTCTATAAATAGGCATGGTTCGTTCTACTTCAAAGCACTCTTCCCTAGCTACGCACTTCTTCCTTCTTTCTATATTTACTGTTTTTGTATCCTTCTTTCATTTTATTTGTCAATGGAAAGTGGGCTGAAGGCATTGTGGGTGCTGTCCGTGGTGCTGCTGGTGTCAAACTGGCAACACTGGACTTATGGAAAACGCGTACCTCAAGTTCCTTGCTACTTCGTCTTTGGAGATTCTCTCTTTGATAACGGAAACAATAACTACCTTAACCTTTCAGCTAAAGTTAATTACCTCCCTTATGGGATAGACTTTGATACTGGGGCTTCAGGAAGGTGCAGCAACTGTCTCAACATAGCTGACACCATTGGTCTGCAGTTTGCTCTCCTCCCTTATATTACAAATTAAATATAGTGTTTTAGTTTTCTTTAATGGAAAATAAATATGTTCTCACTAGATAGTTGTGACCGTTGTATTAAATTAAAATTAGAAATCTTGCCAAGTCTGGTACTAATGTTTTTGTTGCTGAAAGATGACTTGTCTTAACCGATGTTAATATTATTATTATTATTATTATTTTATTTCAGGTGAACAATTAGGTTTCGACAGTTACATTTCGGACTTTGGTGTCGGAGGTTGCACTAATTTTCTAGATGGTGTAAATTATGCATCTAATGGAGCTGGCATCCTTGATTCTACTGGCTCTCTTGCGGTTATTACTGATCATATGCCTCTCATAACTAAAACCTTGTATTATTCCGTATGAATTTTGCGTAATCTTGTATGCTTTGGCAACGCTAACTATTGAAATGTTTCTTTCGTGTATGTGAAGGGAGAACTATTTACGATGAATGCTCAGTTATTTAATCACAATATCACGGTTTCACGAATTGCCAAAATCTTGGGAAGCGAGGAAGTTGCTAGGAAGTACTTGAGCCAATGCATCTGTGTCTGATATGGTCATAACGACTACCTCAGCAATTATTTCTTGGACGGCAGCAAGAAATATACTCCTGAAAAATTTGCTCAACTTCTCATTGAAACTTATGAAACTCAGCTGGAGGTTGGCCCTACTTCATTCCATTTTTTCCCCTTGCTGCCAGAAACTGTATTTCTCAGGAGCAAGAAAGATAGCTTTGTTCGGACTTATTCGGGTAGGATGTATGCCGCACAACATACAAAAACATCCCAGTGACGTTGATGGATCTTCTTCATGTGTAGATAAGCTCAACAGTGATGTTCAATTTTTCAACGACAAGCTTCCAACACTGCTACAAAAACTTAATATAAAGCATACTGATGCTGCGTTTACCTACATAAACTCTTACGAAATTGATTCTGATAATCAGACAAATACAGGTACGAATCCCCTTCCTGCCTTGTTCTCTTTCTCTCACGGTTGAAGAAGACTTTTTTGTTACGCCTCTGATGCCCATGTTATTTTTTCTTCCTTGCAGGTTTTACACAAACCCGTAATAGCTGTTGCGAGGTAGAGCCTGGTTCAGTCCCATGTAAATCTCTCTCCTTCCCATGTAGCAACAGGAGTGACTATGTGTACTGGGATGGAGCCCATTTTACTGAAGCTAAAGCTTGGGCCTTTGGAAAAAGAGCATATAAAAGTCTGTCCCAACAGGATGCTTCTCCATATGATATCAGCGGACTAGCTAAGCTGAAGCTTGACGATTCTGATGCTTACGATATCAACCATGCCCAGCTCTGATGGAGAAGATGATTGTCCAATAAGTAGTAAGAGAACAAGATATTGTGACTGTAAGAACAATGGAAAGACATATCTACTGTCTTTTCATAGCCTTGCACAATATAATTCCAATAAAATTTGCATTTACGCATTCGTCTCATGGAGCAATAATAATAATTACTTAATTCCTTAGTCATTTCGATATCATTACTTAAAATTCTATTCATAGAAGAATTTATTCTTAAAGTATGGAAGTCTATTCGGAGATACTTTCGCCATCAAAATCGAAAAAAAGATACATCCGTACGTACATAAACCAAAACAACTTAACTTTTATATTTATATCTGCGAAATCTCATATGTGGACATGATAGGCTTAAAGATCATGGCTTCTGCTGCTAGCTTATCTTTCTGGGACTCACTTCTGCCTTATTTTAATTAATGTCTCAACAAAATGCTATACTGATGACACAAAATCAAGGTTTCCAACTTGATGTGAATTCGATCTAAACAAATTTCTACACTGATTGTGTGCTGCATGACTTTGATATATTTTAGGCTCTTCTTAACTCCTTTTCCTCATGATTTTTTATTTAAAACAATACTTGATTATACTGGGAGTGAGACGAGAGGATTTCAAACATAACACACATATCCAAGTGTATAAATTAAAACTTAATTTAAGGTATCGGATTTATAAGCCATACTCATACAGTAGAATGCACTAAACTCACTGCATCACCTCCATAGCCGGTTATATGGATCCTTTTCAAGCCAATGAAAGTATTTGCTGAATATAACTCCAAATATAATTTACTTATCGAAAGTTTGCGCTACATATGCTCATATCCAAATTAAGGTTACCATCACCTCTTTTGAGCGGGCTGTTAAGCCCTCAATCATCTTAACTAATGCAATTTATAGCTTCATCTTTTTTTTTTTTTTTAATATGTATCCAAATTAAAGTTACCATCATCTTTTTTGAGCGGACTGTTAAGCCCGTAATCATCTTAACTAATACACTTTGTAGCTTCATCTTTTTTTTTTTAGTATAATTTTTAGTTCTTTACCATCTTAGGTTTTGTGCTTTATAACCTACCTTTAAGTGCGTGTTAGAGCCAACCACCATCTCAACTAGTGTAGTTTACAGTCCTATCTTTTTTCCTTTTGAATGTACCTTTAGGTCATATCATACCTCTTTTCGAGTGTGTTTTTGAGTCCTCGCCTTTGGGATAGTGTGTTTTCTAATATTGCCTCCTTTCAGGTATATCTTTGAGCCCTCACCTCTCAAGTAGTGCGTTTTTTAACCCTACCTTCTATCGTCTCAAGTAGTGTGTTTTTTAACCCTACCTTCTATCAAATGCACTTTTCAACCCTCATTCCCCTTGGAGTCCTTCCTCTTTATGAATGTTCATTTGAGCTCCTGTATTTTGAATAGTGCGCCTTCGGGCTTTACCATATTGTTCCTTTAAGACATTTCATTTTTTTCACACGGAAGGTCACCCATCATAAGTAAACCTCTTTGAAAACTCTTTTCATCTTCCAATTAGGTCGATTGCTTGTTACACTAAAACCATTTTGAGAATTCATCGTATTTCTCCCCACCTCCAAAAATGTTATATTTAGGCAAGTCTCTCATTACAAAAAGACCACTTTGAAAAATCTTTGTATTTTTCACTTCTTTAAAAATCTTAGTGGCTCGTTACACTAAAACCATTTTGAGAATTCATCGCATTTCTCACCACCTCCAAAAATGTTATATTTAGGCAAGTCTCTCATTACAAAAAGACCACTTTGAAAAATCTTTATATTTTTCACCACTTTGAAAAAATCTTTGTATTTTTCACTTCTTTAAAAACTGTTATATTACATCTAGGCAAGTCGCCCATTATAACAAGATCACTTTGAAAAATCTGTGTTTTTCACCACTTTAAAAATCTTTGTATTTTTCACTTCTTTAATTTTTTTTTTCATTTTTCACCTAGGTAGGTCACCCATTACAAGACCACTTTGAAAAATCTTCTCAGCCTTTAAAACCTTTCATCTGAGCAAATTGCTCATTACAACAAGACCCCTTTCAAAAATCTCTATGTTTTTCACCACTTTCAAAAATCTCTATATTTTTCAGCGCTTTAAAAAATCTCCACATTTTTCATCTCTTTGAAAAATCTTTGTGTTTTTTAGTTGGGCAGGTCGCCTACTACAACAAGACCACTTTGAAAAATCTTTGTATTTTTTCACATCTTTGAAAAATCTTTACGTTTTTCACTTGGATTGGTAACCCATTACAATAAGACCACCTAAATTTTTTTTCAATTTTCTCTAGGTAGGTCACCCATAAAAATTCAACTACTACAAAATCTCTAAGTTTTAAAAGAAAAATCTTCCAATTTTTACTTTAAGCGCGCTTTCTAGCCCTCAAAAGGATTCATCATTTCTTGATATGATGAATCCATCATTCTTGTTTACAACGCTTACTACCTAAAGTTGCTTAAGAGACTTTCTATCTTAACCCAATTCTAGGTTATTCTCTAAAATTCACTTTTCAAAAAAATTAAATAAAGGTTGGAAAATGGAGAAAGTAGGCTTGGGAATACAACTGCAATTTTGAAGGAAATTTAAGGCTTAATTATACCCCATTATGCCTAAAAAAAAAAACAAATTCAAGTTCAAATTAAATGATTATTGGATAAATTTGTATAAAAATTAAATTTTAAGAAGCCAATTTGATTTAATCATGTACCAAATTGAATTTTAATTATGTTTAAGAATTAATTTGGGTCTAATTAAAAGGTTTAATCAAGTGAAAGGACTTAGTTATACTTTAAATTGGTCAAATTAATTTTATTTGAGACTTAATTGGTGAAAACTTTAAGTTTAGGAGCCTAATTGAGGCTTAATTGAAAAGATTGAAATTATAAGAGACCAAATTTAATTTTTACTAAGTTAATTGATTGAAATCATGGGCAAAAACATAAGAAAATTAAAGTTTTAGAGTCAATCATGGATGCCGTTAAATTAAATTTAAAGAAGGAGGACTGAAATGAACTTTGGCTAAAATTAGAACTTTGGTACTGTTTATCTTCTTATTTAAATCTCTGAAATGGCAACTCAGGGAGGCTACTTTACAGATGTATCATCTAACATCCATAAAAATTGACAAATCTTGCATGTAGATGATCATCTGCAATTTCTCTATAGTCTTATATAGCCTGTTCAGGCTAAATGACAACCCATCAGTGTTAGTGTTGGCCTAAAAAGGCCAACATTTTAGCTATTTTCTACAGATTTGACAACTCAGCATACCTAATTTGAGCCAACGATTGGGATCCTTACCAACTGAATCAAGGGCTGTAATTTTTCCCCAATGTAGGTAAGATTTCCATCTTCCACTACCTATAAATAGAGGTGGATTTCATTGCATGAAGGAGTAGAAAATCAAGTCCAAATTTGGTAAAAAAACCCGACCATTTTCCTTTGTTTCTGCAATTTCTCTCTTTCCTCTCCCTCTTTCTCCATCATGGCCTTGGGTCACCACCATTCAATCCATTGTCATTTCGTCAACGTCTCCACTACTAATGGTCACTTGAATTCCTCACCAATGGCAAAACATACACTGCCGATCCCTCTCTCTTTCCTATAGATTTTCTTCTCCTTCTTTCTTCCTACTCTTCCACTTGCAACCAACTGCAATCGTCGACCTCACTACCACACATCATCCTTTATAGCTAGACCACCACCATGCTAGGTAGCTTTCTTCTCTTCCCTTTCTTCTTTTTCTCCTCCTTTTTCTCTATTGTCTCTGCTCACAGCATGAACAGTAAACGTGAATTCCTACTGTTCACACATGAAGAGTAGGCATGAAAATTTTTTCAAAAATAAGAAAATCCTTTCAAAAAAATTATGAATTTCTCAAATATTTTTCTACTAATGTTTCATAATATTAGGTTGTATATTTACACCATAAAATATAAATTTGGTATTAAAATATCTGTTTTTTTAAATATTTCAAAAAAATTAGAAACATTTAAAAAAATCTAAAAAAAATTAAATTAATTTTCCTTTTCAAAAACAAAAAAATATTTTTTTTTCACACGTACGGCTAAATCCTAAAAATTTCTAATGCATATTTTCATTAAAAAATTACATCTTTTTCATACTTTGAAAATCTAAAAAAATGGATATCATAACCAGTTTATGATTATCCATTAGGGCTTAATGAAAATATCAAAAACTTTTTTCCAATTGTTTTAGGGTCCAGATGTAGATTTTAA